CTTTCCCATGACCAAGGACGACTGCATTTAGGATGAGTGGGTGGGTAATTAAAGCACTTCACAAATATCAGACATTTTTGGTACCTGTACTTTCAGGGATTTCAGTTGACATTAATGAAAGGGGGAAACACCAGCTACTCACTGTTACATATGGAACTTGTAATGTTACAGGCCTGCCCCTCCCCCCCTTAAGGATAAAGTTCTCCTTATTCCTAGGCCTTGAAAATTATAAGCAGTGAATAACACATGAGAGATTAGGAAGAAATACAGAGAAAGCAGAAATGCTAAACTAAAACAGAGGACTTCGTTAGCAACATTTATCTTCACTCAAAGGCTGGTTCCATCAGCGTTGTACATCATACATGTATGCTGTTAGTAAGTGATTTTTCTGCCCCAAATTTTCTAGAGCTTATTTCTCTATCAGAAGCTTTTAATTATTTTTAAGACTAAAAGAAGGACACCTGTATGATTAAGCTTTAGAAAATGGATCCTCACCTGTTTCTAATGTAGCTGGAGATAATCCTGCATCTCCATGCTGGCTACATATAGGAGTCCAGGCACAATTATCACCTTGAACCAAAGAGAGAGACACAGAAAGAGCACAATCAGCCCCTGCTATCCTCTGCCCAAAGCAAGGAAAAATACACAGGAATCTTTTATTATCTCCTTTACAGAATGAAACTACTCAGAAGAAATACTACTTTCAAGATGTCCATTTGTAAAGAGAAGATACTATACACAAAATGTCCTATAAGCTGTTAAACAAATACAAATAGAAAGATCTAGTTCCTGCTTGACAGTTTCCTCTCTGTTATACAGCAATCAAAGCCTAAATATTTCAGGCCTAAGGGCTGAAGCTACGGAAGGCTCCCTGCTAGGGGCAGACCTCGGACTTTCCTGTATTTCCTTGGAAGACAGAGTTTATCTTAGAAAACAGGAAAACCAAGAAAGATGAATCCCTCTTAGTTCTCCAAAAGCAGCATTTTAGTCAATATTTCTACCTCCTTTTTTATAAATTCTCATTCTTCGCAGGACAAATGCTATCCACCACTGATTAAATTAATGGGTAGGAGACCATTACGGTTACTGATGATCCAGTCAGTAACAAGTGGTTACAGAGGACCTACAAACAGCTCTGGACACAGTTGCCTTCTAATGACGAGGAGTTTCTGGGATGCCAGCACAAGGATCAATGATGATGAGATCACGCTATACAGTAATTACCAGTGCAGTCTTTTTGATTTCAAGCTTGTGACAGTCAAGATGGAATAAACCCTCACATTTATGCTAGGGCTGTTTACGTCTGTTTCCAAGACTGCAAACTATTTTGAACTTCTAGGTAGATTAGGTTTTCTTCCTTCAGACACAGTTTATAATGAAAAGCTGGTATAATCCTCTCTGGTAGAGTGAATAATTAAATGAAGGAAAACAAAGGTTTGTATGTTACAAACACAGAAAATCTGTAAGAAATGAAGAGAGACAGCTACTATTCTGTCTTTAATTTGCTTTATTATGCTGAAGTACTGCAACATGTGAATGATGGCATGCTTATTAAGAGGAGACACTTCAGAGATTCTTTCTTCCCATCCATTATTATGCTGCTTAATGTACTTGTGGCACAGGCAAAACTGCACCACTAGACATTATCTTGAATTTTCAGGCACTTAACTGATATAGCCACATAGTCTATCATATTTGATTATACGTTAAGTTTATTTATCTATCAGTGCTAGAAGTTGATTTTGTCCTCCTTTGCTATGATAAACTTTACAGGAAAAAGACAGAAAAACATGCAAACTCCTCATTTATAAGTAATTATTTTTTTTTAAAGAGGGAACTATTCCTTACAGAGATTGCATGTGAACCCACCCCACTTAGATTGTCCAGGGACTACGCAGTGACTATAAAGGCGTTTATTAAACTAAACTTTCATCTAGAATTTCTCTGCTAGGAATGACAGATATTTCAAAACAAATAAATAAGCTCACTCTCAGCATTAAAGGATGAATGGGAGAATTATTGCCCATACATACCATAAAGACCCCATCATGTCAAGATGTGCTTGAAGCACGAGTTGTGTTTTATTGACCTAAAAGCCCAGACTTTTATGCCAGCGTTAAAATTCCCAGATTACTGATTTATTAGATCTCATTGCTTGTTGTGTCAATATGCTGTTGCACATGTGCAACATCCCTGTGTCAAATAATTTATGTTCCAACCTGTGTGCAGTGCAATCACAGTAACATTCAAGACCCATTTAACAAAACTCTGTGCAGTAAATTTCAAGGTTGTGGTTCTAAATCTCTTCATGTTGACATCTACAGGGAGGTTAATCAGAAGATAAAACGAATGATATTTCGTCACATAGAAAGACATGGTCCTAAGACAAAACCAAACCCCGCTTACCAATCTGACCACTGTATTTTCCCGTTTGTGAACACGCTTGAAGCTCCCCCACCCCTCAGTTCTCCAAAATCCACACTATGTCTATCACATGAGTTATCGGGATTAACGATATGCAGTTACAGCTCTGTCTTTCATATGGTCAGCCTACTTGACTCCAGGACAATTTTGAAAAATGAGTGCACGTTAGTCAAAAAAACCCCAAACACTTTTTCTTCTGGGTTGGTTAGGTGATGGAGCTCAGTTGCTTCCCTTTCCCTTTGCCTGTCATTCAACTCTGTGGACGTATTTTAGAATTCTGCAGCAAGATCTATATACCAATAGCCAGCCATGAAACCTGTAGATCAAATGCCTTTTTAAAGTTATAAAGACTATAAAGAACTTCAGCTGTGTGTCACAGCTAAGGAAAAAAAAGCTTCAGGGCTGCTACAAACAGCTGGTACATTTTACAAGAACTGTGCTGCTTCTAACCTATGTATGATTTCCAAATAGAGTTCAACAAAAAGTAGAGGAAGGGGAAGCAATGTGAAGTTGTGAAAACCTTCACAAAGTAAAATTTTGCAAATTGTAGTTTGCCAAATATATAAATGAAAGAAATGCACATCTAGACTCAAGTGCTTCTCTGAAAGATTTTAAAGTCTTCTGTAGGCAGCAAAAGAACGGCAAACTAGGTCAGCACAAACACGTTCCTTTCGTGTTACTTCTTCTCTTGCCCCCCCTCTGCTGTGGGTACATCAGTATCTCTAGAACCACCTCTGCTCCTTTATTAGAATCTTTGCTAAGCCCAGTTACATCTCAGTAATGCTCAACGCGTGTCCCTTGACTCACATAGGGCTAAGAACTTGGAAATTAGTCAAACTAATTCCCATAATCCCACTTCTCCAGAAAAGATGATAGATGTATTTAGGGCATGTTAAAAATGAAGGCAGAGCATCTGTTCTACCAGGTGTCCCTGCAGTCAGTTAGAACACGTAGATATGGCTGCCTACAGTAAGCTCGCTCTCAAACACAACTCAGATAGCATATGGAGCACAATATGGAAAACTTGCAGAGCGTGATCCAGAAGAGAAAGGGCTGTTCTTCTTGTCCTTGGCACAGTAGAAAGGATTCAGAAATTCCTACTTACTGTCTGCACAGCAGCTTCACAGCACGTATATCCTAGCAGAGTAAATTTTATAAAATGCAGACTTCTAGATTAAAGATTCACGTTTCCTGAACAGGATGCTGAGGCTAGATTTCTAAAGGTAAAAGATATTCAATTATTGAGCTAAGTAGGAGGTCTCTGAAATTCATAGAAACAGAATAACGATGCAAAAAGTGCAACAGAACCAACGTATCTTCCTAAATTAAACCAGTTATTTCAGCATTTTGTCTACTTTTGTTTTGAGCTAGTCACATGATTCTTCCTCTAGATCCCTTAGAAAACCCAGTGAATGCATCTGGAACAGCACAATCTAGGACATCTTACAAAGCTTTTAATCTTTACTTTCAAACCACTTCTCCAGCTTTCAAACTACTTCTAAACAGCTTACATCCTTTTGTAAAACCCGCACTTTTCAAATGGT